ACAGTTTTGGTTTTTGAAAACGATGGAGAAGTCTGAAAAAGTGTGTGAAGTTTTTAAATACCTTCTGAGCGTAATATATTTGTCAATTGACGCCTACTAGCAGATTTATTTCAAAACTTTGCACCACAATCTATAACGTCCACAAGCACTCATAACGCTAAATACTGTTTGGCATTTTTTTCAAATGATTAAAATTTATTTACGTGCCTAAAATCTGACTTTTGGAAACTTCCTAAAATTGTTCGATAATTTAATTGCAAAGAGTCTCCTTACTGCATGGGAACCATCCAGTTACAGCTTGCTTGCACTCGTTCTTCAGCTTTCATTTGTTCATCTCCATCGCATTTCTATTTACCCGTTAGGTTTCTAATAGACGCGGCACCCAAATAAAGCTTTCTTGCTTTATTCTGTATAACAAATATCTAGAAAAGTTTCAAAAGTCAAAGAAAGATTAAGAAAGCAGATTCCAGAAACGTAGACGCAACGAAATGGGTTAATTTTTTGTTATTTTAAAGTTCTCCCTTGCACTCTCACTAGCTGAGTAACGGGCACCTGATAGTCGAGAAATTTAACTACTTGTATTCCGTTCTCTCTTGTTTGACATTCCGTTCTGATTACATTCGCCATTGGATTACTATAAAATAGAAAGCAATTTGAGTCAAATTTCTAGCGTGAGTTTAAAAGACAAAAGCTTCCCTCCGTTACAGTCCGTTCCATTTCCACGCTGTGCTGACCAACTTGATCATGAGGATAGGTATACACACATATGTATGTATGAGCCTCATTATAAGCGTCATAAAGCAGCAACAAAAAAATATATATTATCAGATATCTTGTACCCTAATCAACAAAACCGGTCTTTAGCTTAAATTTTTATCGTAGTTATTTGCCCTCTTTGGAAAAGGGAAATGATTTCTGTTTAAAAACTACAAACACATTTCTATTCAACTTTTTAACGTTTCCTAGTTTAAAATCATATCTAACTTATAAATTGAAAGAACAAAAAAGAAATACTTAAAAATAAACATTAAAGGGGGAGCACAGGCAACATATGGCCGCATTAAAGCAAATTAAACTTCGGTTAATCGGTCTCAAGACGTCAGTCAATCTGTAACATCAGCGACCACGGACAAACGAAGAAGTTTTTCTACTACCGCGTAAAGAAAGAGATGGAGACAACAGGAATACAAACCGGTCAAAATTAACCTACTTAAAAGTGGATGCCAACTTGGATGGCTTGACTCGGCCGACTGTTGTCTTTTTGGGTCTTCGAATTTTCTTTTTTCGTTTTGCCCAAAAACAACAACAAAAAAATACTACAATTTGTAAAAAAAAAAACTAACCTAACAAGTGATGCTGTGGTACGTGCCATGTAAATTTAAATAATGAAGAAAGGAGAAGAAAGGCGAGTTTACGTTAATAATTCCTAAAAGGCAAAGCTATCGAGAAAAAACGAAAAGTTTGTGGGTCTGCAAGGAAGAAATTTGAATATTATTTAGAAAATTATTATAATAAATAAAAGTGCGTTAGAGTGAATGTGGCAATTTTCTGAAACTAACTTGCCCTGCGTCTTTATCTCTATAATCTGCACTTTCAATTTATCAATCGACAAATAGCAATTATATAACCATTTAGATGTACTTAACAACACTGTTAATCGTTCAAAATTTGTTAGGAAGCCAGTAAAGTAGTTTAAAAGTCCACATGGCCTATTATAAAATATTTGTCAACCCACACAAAATATAAAAAGTTTCAAATAAGAAAGGTACAAACAGGAAAAACAGGAAATTTGAAAAAATATACCAAGTCGAAGAAAATATTGGGATGAAAATGCAACCGCGATGTTAGACAGCATCGGAAACTGTTACAAAGGAGATTTCAGCGGTGGGTCCATTGATTATCTCGGTAGCAACCACATCCGAAGGCGACTGCCCAGGGAGCCAGGTTAGTTGATTATTCCTGGCGTCCCTGACAATTTACAATTTTTGTTCAACCAAGCAATGCCGCAATGCTTTTTATTCCTGTTCCTCGTAGATAAAAGGGTATTCAAGATTCGTTGAAAAGTATGTAATAGGTAGAAAACCCTATATAGTATATATATTTTTGGTCAGGACCACTCTGTCCAAAGACATTAGAATATGAAGATGCGTAACACCATACTATTTTTTTTAAACACGATTTTTCGTGCTGGCTCCAGGCTCTCTCTGGATCCAATGGGATCTCTCAACAGCCAGCCGTGCGCATACAGCAGCAACATCCGATGTGTATGTGTGCACATATATCCTTATTGTGCATTGTGCACAATGAATTGCTGCGGTTGCGTTTACTAACACAAGCAAGAGCATTCTATTTTTAGTTATTTTCGCTCTCAACTTTGTGTGAGCAGAGCGAACGCCAACAAAAAACTAGCTGCCCAGTGCAAAACCAAATCATGGCCGTAACGGATCTTAGAGATTATATTGGTCTTTGGTCTTTGAAATATAAAAGCTAGTAAGATGAGATAAAGCATACAGATTCTGGTGGCGCCTACGCGGCCCAAGTTTGTTTCAGAATATAGGGAAAAAATATTGCAATTTTTATTTGAGTAAATAAATAAAAATGTTTGGGATTTGATTTGTTAGCAAAATTATTTCATACCCTTTTATTTTTGTGGTCCTTACAAAGCTAAGGCGAAGCTCTACATATAATCCCTAAATAATACGCCGTAACACACCGAAATCCATGTTGCAGCTGTTGCTACCGTGATCTTACTGTTGTACTTGCCTAACAAGATTTGTTTGCCATCTTGCTCCTTCTTTTGGTAGCACCATTTGGCCAAGGTCTGTTGACCAACCAGTTGGCCGGCTTTTCGTGTCTCATCTGGCAGCAGCAGCAAGCAAAAGCTACACAAAGAGCAACTACCAACTCCTTGGCACAAGAAAGCCGCTTGCGAAATCAAGTGATTACTGTCTGGCATCACGAGTAATGAAACGTGACTCAAATTGTAGTTAAACACCCAAACCGAAGGAGCCAGAAGATCTGATGTCATTATATAGGCATACGTATACATACCGGCCCATCACACACGCAAACGCCAAAAGAACAAAGAAAAGCAACACTTAGAAAAAGCCAACACAACGAACAACAAAGAGATCGCACAAGCTATCACTGAGGAAAATTTCAATTAGGGCCCCTTTACATGGCAAGTTAAAGTCAAAATAAACAGCAGCTAGAGAAATATAAGGAATTAAAAAAAATATATTCATAAGCTTGAGAGAGGTTTTTAATATATATTCATATACATATGACAGCATCCACACATGTATGTATTTCTATTGGTTTTACATTTTTTGTTGCAAATACAACAGCTTTGTTAAAAAAAAAGAGTAATCGAAAAATACTCTGAATACTGAATGTGCGCGACGAAAACTTTTATTTGAATCTCTTCATGTTCTTTGATTGTTTTTTCAAAACTAAAGTAAAGTGTATAAATTAGTTTAACTTTTCTCATTGTCAACCAAATTAGTTTCCAGTATTGTCCAAAGTTAGAACTAGCTGCTTACTTTATCCTCATCAATCTCCATCAATTATCTAAAGTGTTTGTAGTGTAATTAAACTGATTCTAACGTATGAATTTAACTTTTTAGCCATCGTATAACCTGGCCATGGCCGTATCCGTTGTGTGCCATTAAATCTGCGAAATTTGCATACATAAGAAGGCCGAACAAAAAAAGATCCCTCCTCGGGGCAAATGCAAATTTGCATTGCATTGCAAAATATGATATTACCTTCTGCAGCTGCTCTCCATACCTACTGCTTTGTTTATATCTCAAGCAAACCAAAAAAGTGGACTCTGGTCTCTAGAGCGTTTGCTTTACCTTTTCTGGGATGATACTTGATATTAGGAGATGTCAAAGAAAAATTAATATTTTTTCGATTTTTTCGGTTCATTACAATGTCTTGCAAGTGGCCAAATGGAGACTTTCTTGGACCGCAATATATGCAGAACGAAAGTAATTTAGTTTTTATACCAGTTACTCGTAGAGTAAAAAATTTTTATACTAGATCATTAGTCGAGTCGATGTCACATCCGTCTGTCTCTCCGTCCGTATAAACGTCGAGATCTCAAAAACTTTAAAAGCTAAAAAGTTAGATTATACTTGTAGACTCCAGAGACATAGACGCTGGTTTGTTGCCACACTTACTCTACCGGCCACAAGCCGCCAAAAACTTTCACACTTTTAAAAATTGTTTTGTAATATTTGTTCATTTTCATTTTATTTTTGCCAATTTCTATCGATATGCCAAAAAGAATGTTGAGCTTTCTCGTTCGCACTTCCACTAGCTGAGCAACGGGTACCTAATAGGCGAGGAACTATAGCGTTCTCTCTTGTTTTTTTTTTCCTTTCTTTGACGTAGTAGAAAATAGAAAATGTTGTAAATAAAGAGTCATGGATGAAACTCGTCTTTCCGTCACTGCAAGCATAAACATGTTGTGCTCAATTGATTTTGATAATATAATAAAGTCCAAAGGCTCTGTTTGTAGACACGTGCTTGGCAAAAGTCGATTATATACGCTTATATTTTCGATCAACATCTCTATATTTCGATATAGCCATATCCGTCTGTTGGCTTATCCGCAAACTTTTCATTAAGTTTTAGCTATCTTCATAAAACTTTTTGAAAAGTTTTCTTCCCATTGCAAATAGTTTATACCTTTTATTTCGTTTTGGTCATATTGTATTGATTCTGCTGTTTTTTCCTAATTAAAAAGCTAAAAATTAGTATTATTTTTCTTTGCCTTAAAACGTGTAGTGTTTCATATGGTAACATGTATTGCAGATGCCTGATTTTATTTAATCACATGCGTATAAATATTCTTTTCTTTTATAAAATATACTTTATTTATCTAAGCTGAAGAATTGGTAACCGTTTATTTTAGGTCGTTTATATTTTTTGTATTATTATTTCCTTATATTTTCTATTGCTTGCTTACTATTACTTTTTGTTTGTTCTTTCAGTAGAAGACGTTGAAAACACAAGACAAATCGAAAACGGAAATCAGGTAAGGAAAAAAACATTTATTTGGCTAAATTAGTTTTCGTTTTGCTTAAAGGCGCTTGCGTTTTCCTTAATAGGGGTTTATTTTCCTTTTTTATGGTTGACTTATGGCAACCAGTTTTGCGGCGAAATGAGATCACAATGAAAAATTGCGAAAGAAAATCGATGACGGAATTGTGAGAATTGTGAGAAGGCCAAGCAGCAACACTACTTTTGCTGGGGGCATCGTAGCCTTACTTTTCCGCGCCCAAGATCTCGCTTTCACCAAATTTATAGTATTTTACTTATTGAATTCTCTGCATGTCGCGCACGCTTTCACGAATCAAAGCATAGCATGCTTGTCGATGTGTCTATAGCTGAAAGGTGTACTCCGATTTCTTTTTCTTATTTATACATGTTACTCATTGACTAAATGGGTATACTGTTTTCGTTGAAATTTATTTTGTTTGTGGAAGCAACGTTTATCTCTGCCAATTTTTCTATGATTACCCCAGTAACGAATTTTTAACAACCAAGGCTTTCTTAAAGCAACGGAACTCTGATTTCTTTTCCATTATTTTTCTAGGCATTTTCTGACTGTTCCTATGACTGATATAATATAATCGCCTGGCTTAAATCAAATGAAATCCAACGTTTTATATTCAAGAAAAACTGGTGTATACCGATTGAGAACACTTTCTGATTAAAAAAAACGAACGTAAATTTGTTCCTTTTTTTCCATTATTTCTATCTCTGTAGGTACATATGTACATATATAGCATTTGAAATAGAACAGGACATACAAATTCGAGTCTGAGAGACTAGTTTCCGCAGAAACGGGCGGACATTGCTGTATCGACACGGCTGGTAATGCTGATCAGAAATATATATTCTTTATGTGGTCGCTTATGTGGTTTCTTCTTCACCGCGTTTTAACAAAGTTAAGCGTCTTTGTAAAAGCAAGGAGCTTTAAAGAGGGGTGCTAGATAATTCAATTAATTTAATCACCATTTTCTCTTGAGCATAAATATCTTAGGTATAGATACCGCTTATGCTAAAAGTCACAACACCCAGTCTACTTTCAAGAACAACTACATAAAGCAACTTACATAAAACTACACATAAAAAGACATTTTTGTCTTACCTGTATTATACCCGAGTACTAGCCCAGTGTACCCTCTCATTAAACAGGTAGTTGGGAACGTTACCGGCTTACATATATAAATTAATAAAGAATATATATTCGTGATCAGGTTCACCAGCCGGGTGTATATGCTATTTCCGTCTGCTTGTAGGGTGTCTAATAGACGAGGAACTCGATTTTAGCGTTCTCTCTTACTTAAAAATTAAGAGAGAAGAAATTTGTTGTAGAATTGCGCCCATAAAGTTACAGCTCCTGAAGATCGCGGTCGCATGTCGGCTTCCTGCGATTTCACCTCATCCCACCACCACCTCCCGTTCTTCACCTCCGCTTGCCATGTCCAACGCCATATCCAATTTCAAGTCCAAATAGCCTGAGTGGCATGTGAATGAGGTTGTTTCTCGGTTGGAAATTTTGTACTCAGGGGTCTCTCTAGGCCAGATTGTCTTAGGTCGTGCAAACAGCGATGCGCATAATAAATGAAAAAGAAAATATCTCCAGCGACAAACGTGGTGGAAAAAAGTTGACAAGGCACGTAGTCGGGAGGTGAACTGGCGTAAGACAGTTGGCACTATTTTGGATTAGGTTGCGGGGAAACAAGAATCTTCAATGATTATTCTACACACAAATAAATATCTGTTATATTGGTTTTAATCATAAAATGTTTTAACACTACATTAGTTTTTTGACAACATATAACTTCAGTTTTTATTCGTTCAAAATTGTACGAACAATAGGATCATTTATTGAAAATATAAGAAAATAAATCAGTTTCGTTTTTATACCCGTTAGTATACTAAATTCGATGAAAAGTATGTAACAGGTAGAATGAAGCGTTTCCGACTCTTTAAAGTAAACTTATTCTTGATCAGGATAACAAGCCATGTCCGTCTGTCCTAGAAAGTTAAGGTTAAGCATGCAGATTTCAGAGACATTGACACAGCGTAAGTTTTTTTCCAAATGTTGCTATGTCGCGCCTACACTTTTGAAAATTTTTTTGATTTTTTTGCTATAGTCTTGTAAATAGCGTTCTCTTTTGTTTTTTAAAGACTGCAACTGTATGTAAATTTTAGCTTCCAGATTTCTTGCTTTATTTCTTGTTGCTGTTCAGTATATATTTTATGAAACCACTATTGAAAAATAAACTTTCTGCGTGACGAAATGGCAAAGGAACGAACAAAAGAACTGTTGTTTGAAACTGGTTTAGCTTCCTAGCTTGTGGTTTAGCTTCTTAGCCTCAATTGGAAACAAAATCTAGGTGAACAAGTGTCCAAGATCGGCGGACCCAAGTAGACCCAAACTGAATACCCGCCTGGTCCACATACTTTTATATCATCTTAGCACTATTAAGTTCCTCCAGAAGAGTGCAACTAAAATTCAGGCGATACAATGTTTGACATGGCTTTCGAAATTGAATCTGCCACTAGTGAAATGTCGTTATTTAGGATTGATTTGTGAGTATGTGACCCAGCACTCAGTTTCTTCTACCGCAATTGAGTGTAAGTAATCGAAATAATCGCATTAATAACGTCAGAAGGAAATTTGGAGTGTTGGCTCCACAATTTTCCAATCACACATCCCAGGTTTCTAAACACTATGTAAAATGTGGAAAAAGTTTTACAAAGATTTTTTGATCGATTGGACTTGTCGGTGGCTTTAAAAAAAATATAATTCACATAGATTAACTGGTCATTGGTGGACTTCCAATGTTTTTTTTTATCATAGTTGTTGATGCTGCGCCCGGAAAGAAAGATACCTTTATATCAATCAAATTACGGTTACCACAGACCGCAACCCCGTTACTCCATTGTTCATACAAAAGACAAGTAACCAGGTCAACTAACGGGTCGCATTCGCATGCGGTTATAACCCACTTAAACAAATAGCTCTTCCCGCCCGACCTACTTAGCATGCTGAATTCTTTTGGCCGGCATCTTTTCGTTTGGCATGTTCATTTACCTGGTGTTTCCTCGAATTTATCATATTTTCACCTGCAACACTACAAATTTGCATTTAACTTTCCTTACGCTTACGTTTAATTTGAGCGCTGGTATTAAATCTTTCCAATAATAGTCCATAATTAATAATAATTTGGCCTAATCGCTATTAGCAGCGGGACAAAATGTAAGTCAACAGTTTTATTAAAAAAAAAAATTGTTTGCGTATTAACTCCATATATCACACTTTCTCAAGACAACCTTTCGACGCAAGAGGCATCAAGTGAACACAAGGTTGAGGACGAAAATCAAGTTTTCCTCATACATACTAACAATAAAGCCTATTGGAAGTCGAAAAAGACACCGAGACATATCTCGATTATGTGCACGTAATGTAAATATTTTCATCGCAGTCACTAACAATCCATCCGCCATTAAATTTATTTTGTTCCTTAAATGGCACAACCCATTAAATAAGATACTATTTACCCTACCCTACCACTGTCTTCTGAGAGGAAGTATAGATTCAATGAACGTAAACAATCAGCGCTGTAATTGACTCAAAATCAAAAAATGTGTTAGTATCATTAATATTATTAATATATTAATATGATTAATAGTAAACAAGCCAGACAATTTTCAAACTAAATGTTTTTCACAAATAATTTAAATTCATAATACTTTTTAAAGAGTACTGACCTGGGACACTCAATTATTTTATGTCCTGTTAGTCTTGCCGTACAAAAGCTTGGGTTTTGCATTACAAAAAATTTAACGACGTGCGCGTGTTTTCCTCTTAAAGCTGAAATTATTTTCAATTATTTTCATTATTTACATATATCAAAATGCATATGCATATTTATGTGCTACGTGCTGGCCAAGTGTCAGACCTGCTGTAATGAGCGTGTTCCTCGGGCAAAAATAGATGTCTAAAAGTGCAGCATACTAGAAAAACAAACAGGGAACATCGAACAAAGATGTCCACCGCAAATAGATACCCGAGCGATCTGTTGGATAACCTCAGTTATGACGTCGAACTCTTTTTTTCTCTATTCGCCGGGCATTCCAGTGTTAATTTTCCTAGCCATGCCCACATTTTAGGGCCCACAGTTGCAATTACTTGTACAATTTTAAAACTTGCGCTTTGCTGTATTCTGCTCCTTTCTCCTGTGTCATCATCATTTCTTCTCTGTCGTGGTTGCTGCTCATAATTGCCATAAATCATGCAACGTTCTTATGCCCGCCACTAGAAACCTGCTTTTAAAGCTGCAGATGAGGTTGGAGTCTTCAGCTTTCGGTCTTCCAAGAGAGAGTTACTTGGGCTTCTTCGGATCAGACACATTCCAAGGCCTCAAATGCGCCTCTAATGACTCCTGCTCTTTGTTGCCAACCTCAATTCTTTACTCCTCCTCATTCTCATCTTTAGTTTCTGACTCTCAGCCTCTTTCTGCAAACTTATCTTCCCATATCCGTCTTTCAAGCCAACTTGAATCCATTCCCATTCTCTTTGCCTCTTTGGCTAATGGCTTTTGTTGCTTTACTTCCGCGAAAGACCCGAGACCAAAATGCCCTCTATCTCATCCTGATTCCAAGAATAAAAAGTCACTTTTGCGCACTTGCTGCACTGTTCAAAAAATGCACCAAATATATTAAAAAAGCTGAGTGAAAAAGATGAAAAGTGACAGAAACTATTATATTTGAAAAGGTTTATAATTTGGGATATTATTGTTACAATATTCCTAGTCTCTTCTTCACCTATTTCAGAATTCATCGGTTTTATGTTCATTCTGTGAATTATGTGAATTATATGAGAGCACAGACGGGGTATTATATATGTATACATATGTGCTCCTATTCTTCTGGAGCGGTATTACGAAAACAGAATATGAAAACTATATACGTATGTATACCGTGGCGAAGTAATGTTTGCGATCTTTGGATGTTTTGTTGTATCCTGCTGAATGTTACAACGTTATATCGGTTGACCACGTGGTTTTGAACCGTAGCTTCCCCGGATCCTCTTCTAAATTGCCGTGTTGCATATCTTGTTGCCTTCATCGGCGATTGAGCAGCTCTTTTAAATAACTCTCCACATGTTCTTTTGTGTACGCTGCATCAACCTTGAGGCAGCTTCTCCATAAGGGGATATCGTTCCTGCTATCTTGTTATGCAATACCTATCCGGTTCTAACTAAAAGCAATGACAACAGCGGGCAGCTACCATGGGCCAGAGATTTTAAACTGTACAATTCCAGTTCACCACCAACTTTGAAATTTGTTTTGTTTTTGTAATTTTAAGCGCTTAAAAGACCTTAATTCATGATGTTCAATTATTGCACCGCTGTTATGTGGACTTCGTATGCAATCTTAAAAACAAACGCTTACTACCGCTCACTTATTTTAGCTGAGTAACGGATGTCAAGTAGTGGCACTCGGCTACAGCGTTTTTTATTTTTCTTGAATTATAGCATCTAATGTTTTTATTTAGAAACTGGATTTAATGCACGTTGGACTAACTAAGAGTTAGAATGGGAATGCCCTGAGAAAGGTGGAAACTCTGGTTGGGTAAGTTCAGCTGGCCACGGAAAAGATGGAAAACGCTTCCATTGTTCGATAGCAATTATTGCCTCTTCGCATTTCTATTAACAAAATGCATCTATATATGTATGCACACATACGGATAAAAGAAATATATACATAGAAAAGGGGGAGTTGCGACACGCATAGTTCATGCCAGGTGCTTTGGTTGGTTGCACGTTTTGCAGACTGCATCTTTAACACAGCGGTGATTGAAAATTACATAATTGCAAAATGCAGCGAAAGAGGTGCCTGCATAACGTTACGAAGTCGAGAAATAATTTTGAAAATATTTACTTGTCCACCCGTTCATTTTCTACTGGAACCTGCCGGATGAAAGTCAAGTGCATTATTATTTTTTGCCACATATGTAATTGATATCTGGTCTTTTGTATATTAAAGAAGAGATCGTCACTTGTTTTTACCTCATGAAGAGGTATTTTTGTTTATTCTTCTATAGTATTAAAAAAAAAATGGATAGAATCAGAAGACACAGAGTACTTTTGTAGAAGAAAAAAATTAAAACAGGGAAGGAAGGAGGAAGACGTGTTCGGGGAGTAAGATGGTATAAAAAGTCTTCCAAATTTCTAATGATATGCCAAAAACACTTTGGCCAGGCCAACTCAAACGCCCACAGATCTTGCAAGCTGTCACGCCTTATATATACAAGAAGGTATTTTTTTATTTTATTTTGTTTCCTGCTAATTTCCATCAAAATATCGAAAAGGATTTAAAATTTTCTCCGCTCACTCGCATCACCTGTGTAACGGGAATTTGATAGCGAGGAAATTTACGTTTTATTTTGAACGTGCGTTCCTTCTTCCTTCATCGACATGACCAATTATTTGGCCTTTTCATCTCAGTATAATTGGTTATGCTTGGACGGCCTGTAAGTGCCATTTCAGAGTATAGCCAATGCTCCTGGCTTAAACAAATTGGAAATCACATTTTGCATAATTGCCGAAGCTGCTTTCACTGATCATTGTCAGAAATCCAAGCCAATCCCTATTGACCCTTTGTTTTTGCATACACTCTTAAATAATTAGCGAACGTGTCCAATCATTTTTCATTATTATTACTTGTATCTGCCCATGCATGTGTTGTTTTCTGACTTCTCTTTGCGGCGCAATTAGGGTTCTTAACCAAGAATAAGAATGGGCAGATTAAGATGGTAGAAGGCGTGCCTAATGATAACCTTTCAAAGCCCACTCTGCTAGAGACTTCACTTCTCCTTTATATACGATTCGATTCAATTCTATTTCATTCCCGTTCCTCTCGTTTTTCTCTTCCTTCGCGATCTCTGTCGTAACTGCAAATTTTCTTGATTACTGGGTAGTCAAGTACGCGCCACTGGCCGCAAGAATTTACCGAAGAGAACAGCAGAGAAGTGATGAGATGGGCCAGGAAGCAGCTGATGAGAAACCCTGAAGTCCATCGATCTCCAGTACTCTGCCATATAATTATAATTTGCAGCACAAACAGAACAGTTTTTATTGTAGGATTGTGACCTTTCTAAACCTTGAGAACTCTATACCTACAGTAGGCACTCAACACTCAACTCGTAAATGGTCTAAGACGCAAAACGGCAAGAAAAAATAAAGCTCACACCGAACACCTAACACCGAACATGTCTACAATATCATTTGCCTCCATATGAAGTTTGAAGTTATTCTAATTTTAAAATTGATTAGCTGGGGAACGGGTATTTATGGCAGTCGACTATATAGTTTCTCTTACATTTTTTAAGGCAAGCAACATGAAAGCAACCGCATATGTTTCTGTTGCTGCAGAAAACTGCTCGTGTTGCAGCTGCGGCAACGACAAATAGCTCCCGTTGGGTTGCAGTTCGCTGCTGCTGGCTGCAGCGGCTGTTATTGCTCTTGCTCTTGTTTCAGTTGCTCTGGTTGCTCTGGTCGCTCTCGGAGCTGTTGCTGTAGTGGCTTCGAGGGGGATCTTATGTTGCAACATCAGCGGGCATTCCTCGCTGTCTTGCCACCTATTTCGTACAGCTTGCAGAACCTTTCTTGTCCCTGGTTAACGATGTTGCACTCAGTATAGCTGCTATGACTGCTGATGTTGCTGATGCTGCTCTGCAATCGAACTCGTCTACAACGGGCAACATCTAAAAATGGCCAATAAGAATTCGGTGCTTTGACTCTGTAGTTTTCCATTTTCCATTCCGAATTCGCTATGCACAGCAAGAAATAGTTGTTACATGTTTTGTTTCAGAAGGGTATTAATAATGTAATGTAATTTAAGGCTTGATCACAATTTAAATTCCTGAAAAAATCAATTTTACCAGTTTCTATCTGTTGTTATCTTGCCGGCTATCGGCTTTCACTTGTTCATTTTGTGTTCGTATTTTTTTAATCAGTGCCGAGGACTACTTGCAATTAAATTCCGGGTCTTGAGTTTTTTTTATAGTTAATGGATTTTGTTAGTATAATTGCTATTGTCGATATACCTGCCTAGATGCTCATGCCTTCGTATTCGTCTGTATCGGAGGAGGAAACTAAAGATTCTTATTCTTAGAGAAAAAGAAATGCGGAGGTCATTAGCTTTAGCCAGACTGGGTAGAAATCTAAGACTCGGTGTAAACGAATCAATTTAATTCTGTCCCTAAGGCTGTCAATTGAATAATTGCTAAATAGTTAAACAAATTTTTGGGCCATCATATGCATAACGCTGCTTAGAAGCCAGATAATCTGTTTCGTAATTTATATTTAAACAATCTAATATAACTCTTGATGCTTACGCGTACAGAATGAATATGTGCAATTTATCTTCACTGCCACAATAAAGACCACAGACTTATTTGCACTAGGTAATGTTTCATATTGCACCTTAGCTCCTTGTACACATGCATGTCAACCTCCTGAACCGTCATGCATCATCTGAGCTTAATTGGTTGAGATTTCTTGGATGAGCTATTTGTCCGCAAAAAGCAATTTGCTGCTGCCTGCACCAACGAAAACCACAGGAATGCTAAAAAGTTGTTTTGCCAGAGACTTGGATTGAAGTTGCTGCTGGTAGTCCGAATAATAGAATTTGCGAAATAGAGCCGGACGTTTGGAGCTCTAACCGCAAATCGTCAATAAAATAGATCTCCTTTCCCCTCGTACAGCTCATTTAAGTCTCTAGAAAGTTCGAGTTTTATGTAGACAGGGATGTGGGAAGATGTCTATTGTCATTACTTGGCCAAAGTACTGTTCTGAGTCTGCATACAAAAGGAGAAGAGAGCTATTGAGGTTTACATTTTGTTGGTTCGGTGGTTCAGTGGTTTGGCGCTTGGTTAAGCGTGTAATGGGGCAGCCTAAGGGCGGAAGTAATAGTCAATGCACTACCTTAACCAAAAACCAGTAAATCCTGTGCCCCTCTATTAAGTATAATCCCGCTTTTTGATCTACGGCTACTCCATATAAATTAAGGCTGAGAGCACTACAAGTTAGATATGTGAAACCGAAGAGTTGAAGGTTTATATCGAGAAAGGTGAGAAAATCCTGCAGTACCCATCACTTAACATCTGTGAATGAAGATAATGGGGGCCAGCGACCCTAATTCTACGATATATATTACCTTCTGATGTTATATATTCTCCATTATTTTTATAGACCATTTTAAGCCCTTAGTTCTTCGTTTTACAGATCGCAATGCAGTCAACCCAAAGTAAGAGAGATCGATCTTCGATGCACATGGGTCCGCTTCTTCTCTGCGCCGTGATGGTTGTCCTGGTGACTTTGCCTGTACAAATTAATGCCCGTATGGCCTTTGAAAAGCTAACGGACTTTGATTTTCCGGGCAATACGTACTACAGCGTGAAAAATCTATCCCTATATGAGTGTCAAGGATGGTGTCGCGAAGAGGCAGATTGCCAAGCGGCGGCCTTTAGTTTTGTGGTAAACCCTCTGTCGCCCTCGCAAGAGACCCACTGTCAATTGCAGAACGACTCCTCCGCAGCCAATCCTTCGGCGGCTCCGCAAAGAAGTGCAAACATGTACTACATGGTAAAATTGCAGTTGCGCAGCGAGAATGTGTGCCACCGACCGTGGAGTTTCGAGAGGGTTCCGAACAAGGTGATTCGCGGCCTGGACAATGCACTAATATACACCAGTACAAAAGAGGCCTGTTTATCAGCTTGCCTCAACGAAAGGCGATTTGTATGTCGATCGGTGGAGTATGATTATAACAACATGAAGTGTGTGCTCAGTGATTCGGATAGACGCAGCTCTGGACAGTTTGTTCAACTGGTGGATGCTCAGGGTACGGATTACTTTGAGAATCTCTGTTTAAAACCGGCTCAGGCCTGTAAGAACAACCGCTCGTTTGGCAATTCCCAAAAAATGGGCGTCTCCGAAGAGAAGGTGGCTCAATACGTTGGTCTGCACTACTATACTGACAAGGAACTCCAAGTGACCTCAGAATCCGCCTGCCGTTTAGCATGTGAAATTGAATCTGAGTTTCTGTGCCGCTCCTTCCTGTACCTGGGTCAACCCCAAGGAGCGCAGTACAACTGTAGGCTATATCATTTGGATCATAAGACCCTGCCCGATGGTCCATCCACCTATTTGAACCATGAGCGCCCCCTTATCGATCATGGTGAGCCCATTGGTCAGTACTTTGAAAATCAATGCGAGAAGACCGCCGGCTTGGCAGCTGGATCACCACCGGGAACTCTCGATAAAATCGATACTTTACCCGTTAGCCTAGACACCATTGAAGATCCCAACCTGACCAACTTAACCCGCAATGACGTTAACTGTGACAAGACCGGAACTTGCTATGATGGTTAGCTATTTTAAATGTATGAAGACATGTTTAACTGATAGTATCTTTTCCTCCCTAAGTTTCTGTGCACTGCAAGGACACTAGAATTGCCGTCCAGGTCCGCACCAACAAGCCGTTCAATGGACGCATCTATGCTTTGGGACGTTCGGAGACCTGCAACATCGATGTTATTAACTCAGACGCTTTTCGGTTGGATCTGACCATGGCTGGGCAGGATTGTAACACACAGAGTGTGGTAAATGAGAAAATAATAATATGATGTACTATTCTAATGACATTTACACGTTTTCTAGACCGGTGTCTACTCCAACACGGTGGTTTTGCAGCATCACAGCGTGGTAATGACCAAGGCCGACAAGATCTATAAGGTCAAGTGCACTTATGATATGAGCTCAAAGAATATCACCTTCGGTATGATGCCGATCCGTGACCCAGAGATGATCCACATAAATTCATCACCGGAGGCTCCACCACCAAGGATCCGCATCCTGGACACACGACAGCGCGAGGTGGAGACTGTGCGTATTGGAGATCGTCTTAATTTCCGCATAGAGATTCCTGAAGACAGTAAGTGTGGACTAACGTGGATTTGCCTCGGCTCATTTATTAATTAATGCCTATAACGAATAGCTCCCTATGGCATTTTTGCTCGGTCTTGTGTGGCCATGGCCAAGGACGCCCGCACCAGCTTTAAGATCATCGACGACGACGGCTGCCCCACTGATCCCACCATTTTCCCCGGCTTCACCGCCGACGGCAATGCTCTGCAATCTACATACGAGGCCTTCCGATTCACCGAGAGTTACGGCGTGATCTTCCAATGCAATGTCAAGTACTGCTTGGGTCCTTGTGAGCCGGCTGTGTGCGAATGGAACATGGAGTCATTCGAATCTTTGGGCAGAAGGCGTCGTCGCTCTATCGAGAGGTATATGGGCTCTTAGGGTAACCGAGTTATCCGCTAAATTCTATTTGAATGTTGCATACATCTATAAATTTTTTTTTTTGCAGCAACGATACCAAGAGCGAGGACGATATGAACATCTCGCAGGAGATCCTCGTTTTGGACTTTGGCGATGAAAAGCGCGAGTTCTTCAAGGCAGATCCCAGCACAGACTTCGCCAAAGGTGAGTATGGAAAAACGAAATCTTTTTATCAGCGCCTTATGTATTTCATATTGCATCTAGACAAAACTGTTACCATTATCGAGCCGTGCCCCACGAAGACATCGGTGCTCGCTCTCGCGGTCACCTGCGCGCTGATGATCCTGCTTTACATTTCGACTTTATTTTGCTACTACATGAAGAAGTGGATGCAGCCCCACAAGATCGTAGCATAATGACAACGATCAAGAAAACGTAGGAAAAAAAGAAAGAAAACAAAAAGGAAGTACACAACATGATTGTCACTCACATCCGCTCCCTCTGCTCTCTCTCACACATACACATTTCAATATCTTTGTCTCACTCACAAATTACTGACAACCGTATAATTTTTTGTTTTTTTTTTTTTGATATTCATATAAATTATTAACTTAAAATACAATTTATTTATTAATATTTATTTAGACTTAAAGCGTAAAATACATAATTTCCTAGAGAGCAAAGAAATGAAAAAATGTCCCAGTAGAGACAAAATCGCACATCAGCGCATTTTCGTTGCGAATTAGTAAAAGGAAAAAAAGAATACAAAAAGGAAAAAAAACTGCGAGCGCGTACTTTCTATAAAGTTACGAAAGGACAAAACAAAAACGGTCCTTGGCAATGAGTAAGAGAGATAGAACGATGGATCACGATCCCTTTTGTAACTTCTATAGAGACTGCAGCCGCACACACTCGCACTTAAACACACTCACTTATACACTTACCCAATTATTTACGTACTCACGCGAGCCCACATTTATTTAATTCAATAAATAATACGAACAAAACGCAATAAACAATAAACATCAAACAAAAACAAAAAAGCGCAAATAAGAATAACTGATCAAAAACAAGAGACAAGAAAAATGATTTCATCGATGGCATATTAATGAAATTGTGCTTAATTGTATTGCATTTATTTAATTTAAATTATTTATGATAATAAAGAAAAAACATATATGAACAATTGTTCCAATGTATTTGCAAATACTGAAGATAACACCTCATTTTCTTAAAGCGTTACGATTGGGCAGCCATCAACATGGCAGTGTTGTAGAGGGCAGTAGTCACTCATCTTTGCAAGTGTCTGCCTGGAATTAACATTTTATTTCAAAACTTTCAACATAACTACCATTAATTTCCAGGTGTTATTGTAAATGGATTTGGTATTCTATTAAGGTGCAGAAGAGAGAAGATTCCTTATTTTTTTGACTATATTTTACGGAAATTCATGATCTCTTTTCGACTGTGCTAGACTGGTTAACTATATTCTGGTTATAAAACAATATAAAAACACTCAAAACGTATGCTCTGTTTTAATATATACCTTTATTATTTTGTGTAAATGCAGTGTAAAACAAAAAACAATTAAGAAACTGTTTTATTTTCAAAATTTATAATTAAAATCAACGAAACTGCTTTTTTATTTCTATTACTTTCAATTATATATGATAAAGTCATTAAATATTAATTTATTTAAAACCGAAAGTAGACATAAAGAAAAAACTGGTGTACAGTAATTCAGTTTAAAAAAGATTTCTGGGCAAACATTTATTGTAATACATATGCTAGGATGAGTACCGGAGTCATATCACTTCGGTGGGATAAGTCTCTCTCTTCATCACCCCCTTTTATAAAAAAGTCCTTATATACTAGTTTCTGAAGGTCGAAGAGCAACGTGTCCTTGAACCGATGTCACCTCAGTCGCAATGCTTTTATTTCAGCAAAACCATGTTTAGGAGGTCGAGACTTGGCCGCCGCTAAACATGTCTCTTTAAGCGACTTACTAACTGGCCGTTTGACGCATTCGTCAAAGTAGCACTTCTCCACGTTATGCAGAAATTCCACCAGTAGTCGGTCATCGCCGCCATTGGGTCCCACGGAGTACTCGCATTCGTAGCTATGCTGCTTGAGATCTCGAACACAGCAGTCGATGAACTCTGCATTGGCAGAAAACCAGTCGTTGTGACGCTCTAGGGGAATACCCAAACGCGTCCTTACTACTCCAGTCAACCAGGTGTCATCGATCCAAAAAAATGACACCCTCTCCGCCTCCGCTACAATCCTCTCGGCCGTTGGCACGTTGGTCACGTAAAGCCAGCCCGACAAATAAGCGGGATATAGAGCATGTGGGTACTCCTTTTTGCTAACGTACCACTTGTTGGCTCGCAGGCGAATGGGAGGCTTGGCATCCAATACGTAGCCGGATAACAAACTGCTTGATGTGGCCAGTCCGGGTTGGCGCACCTCGAGGGTCTCTAAATACCTGCGCAGATGAAATACATCGTAGATGATGTCATCATCCAGTTTAATGATAAACTTCGCCTGCTTTTTGCACTCTTCAGAGACCCACTTTAATCCCATTACGTGTTTGTAGCTCAGATTGCGATAGTCCTCGATAAAATTACCCTGGAGAAGGTCCCCGAAACGCTGCTGTTCGCTGGCCAGTTGATCCTGGCTGATAAAAAGCTCTTTTGAAGGCAGGGCTGCTAAGAGAAAGACTCTTCGCAAGCCCATCTCTGCCAGCTTGCTTTGCGGAATCGCCTGTCGGTGAGCTGATCGCAAGGCATCGTTTCCCGCATACGAAGTGACTATTAAAACGGCTAATCGGGGATTACAAAAATGGTTACGGATGCCTTACAATGGTTGAATTAAACAGACGAACTTACCTAAGAGTTCTCTTTTAGTCTTTCGACACACATTACTGACCAGCAAGTAGTGGAAATCCGTGAGATTCAGAAGGGAATTACTTGGCGTGGTATTAGAGTTAGCTGGATCTTCCTTCGTTTCGGGTGGTAAGTGCAGCAAGAAACCGTCATCAGGGGACTGCCTTGAGTCCCTTAAGTGACTCGAAAAGTAACAGAGACTCAGCAGGGCGATCAAAAGAAGCGACAGGATAATCGGAAGCAATCTTCGTCCGCGCATGCGCATTTTTCTCACATTCTACGTGGGATTCCCCTCGCACTATGCCGTTTGTATGTATATGTGGCTGGATCCAACTTGATAAACTTTAATGAACACAATGCTTAGAACGAGTATATATTATGAACAAAAATAAAAATAAAAATATGTGTTAATAACAAATATTTTCACGCCTTGCCAGTGCTTACACACACCAAATTAGCGTTAGCAAAATCGGGAACCGTGTGACCGTATTTTCTTTTAGCGTATACACTCTCCCAGCAGCGTTGCCAAGTCCGATAAACATCGATTTTTATGCCATGCCAGCTCTAGTTGTTGTGTTGTTGCTGTTCTTTGCGGATAACAGTTTTCAGCACGGAGTGCGTGCGTGTGCGTGCGTCCAAAACGCAGTTGTGTGTGTGTGCGTGTGCTTTTCCTCATATTTTTCTAAAATAATTGTACTGAACTGTTAGGCTCTATAAAGAGAACGCCATTAAAACAACAAACCTTTGTAGATTTATTGTAGAATTGCGCTTAAAATTTCCAGCTTAACAATTCCAAAATCTCAAAACAGTGACTGCAACACCAACAAAAACGCAGTAGCAGCGACGTCGGCAGAGTAACAACAAGAACAACAACTTGGTGATGAAGCGATGAGAGAAAGAGAGTGTAATATTTGACAGCATGTGAGCTAATCAGCAAAACTGCGATTTCTGCAAACATTTTGAGTTTCTTAAGGGCAATTAATAAACGGAAAAGTGGGAAAACGTATAAATATAATAGTAACAAATTTATTATTGTTACGTTCTGTTCTCAAGTCAATAAAAAGAGGGTAAACATAAAAAAGAGAGAAAAAAAACATTGAGCTGTGACCACCAAGAAGCGCAGTCGACTTCGCTGCCGGCAGAACGAAGAAAAAGAAGAAGCAAAATAAAAAGCAGATTAACCTGATTGAAAAGCCTAAAATATAAAGATTGAGTGTTTCGTTATTTTTCTTATGTTTGCCCATTTGTACTCAAAAAATCGGTGCCAAAATAGTTGAAAATTCAGAACAGCACAGTAACCAGAAAAACTGCTGGCACCAATCTTATCGGGGAAAAAAGTGCTCCGGAACCCAAATTATGTTTTTATTTGTTTAGCGATGGATTATTGATTCTGACATCCGAAAAATCAAAGAAACTAATAATCCAAGTGAAAAGTAGTGACATCTAAGGCAAGATGACGGATTTTGTTGAGCTGATGAACAGCATGTCTAGTACATTCAATAGCGACTGTGCTACTTCAACAGCGGAGGGTGGTACGTTGCTAAATTTGAACTTGGCGGAGGACAAAACCCTCAAGTGGCGTAATTTGGCCAATAACCAGTTCGCCAGTAAAGAGAAGAAGCAAAAGGACAAAGAGGAGGAGCGCAAGGATGCAAGGAATCGAGAGGAAATCGAAGATATCAAAGCACTTTTGGCAGATGTTGTCGATGCGGCTGCTGTCAAGCTGGAAGAAGAAGCAGCGCAGAATGCAGAAAAAGTCGATCAAAATACAAAAAGAGAAAGGGATGAAGAAGAGAGTAGGAGGGAAGTGGAGTACGACCAAGATGTCGCGAAACAAGACTCCGAAAAGGAAGAACAGCAGAAGAATGACAGAGAGACATCCATAACAGTAAAGCTGGAAAGCAGTGAGCGTGCAGAGAAATACGCAACGGAAAGTGCAACGATGTCGACAGAGAGATGGCAGAGCGAAAGCTTTAAAACTGAGCAGCAAAATAAAGAAGCAGCGAAGCAAGAAGAAGAAGACATGCTAGCAGTAACACAAAAACCTGCGGCAATTGCAAAATTAGGGACAATAACAAGAACTGAGGCAGCAGCATCTCCACTTGTTGTTAGTTCTGCTAGCGTCAAAATCACTGCTGACGCAACCAGCCCTAGTGCCAGTATAAACGGCGAGCAGCGAGCAGCGACGTCGGCAGGGGCTGCGACATTAGCTGATAAAAATGTAAGTAAATGTTGGTGTGTGTATCAGCTTCGAAATTTTAGCCGTTTCTTTTATTTTTTGATTTATTTAGAAGTTGTTAGCCCTTGACTGCTGAGTTCTTTTCTTTCATTGATTTTTATGTGTTATGTACACATATTTATGTGCATACATTTTCTTATTTGTGGCATTGTTTTTTGTTCAGCACAATCATAACAAATGTTGGGGAGTTCCCTTATTTCCCAACTTGTTGATTTTTTATACAAATTAGAGACTTTTGTATTATCTTGGAGAACTATTTGTTAAAATTTCAGTCGTCACTGGTCATGCACTCCCCAAAGAAAGCGAGAGAATAGAGTTATGAAAAACTTTAAGTTTAATTTCCATAGATAGGTAACTTAAAAATTCTTTGCATAGAAAAAATTTTTATTATTTATTTACTCTATAAATTGTTCAGTCATTTATGTATTTTGATATTCTCATGACTATTCCAAAACATGAAATCCATTTTCAGTTGGTATTATGTATGTACATATCCCATACAATGAGTAGGCATTTGTCATAGTTCCTGGGGGATTTGCATACACGTTTCGTTGGGCTAGAAGTAATTGCGTCCAAGACAAAGGGGACTAAACCATCCATTCATTCATCCTCTTGGTCAACAGACCTCGTGTGTTTGGTAGAATCAGTTGTCTAGGCAACCAATGAAGCCATTTAAAGCTTTCTTTCAGTGCTGGTACTTTTATGCAGTATGTCCATATATGTATATATAGATATATATCTATATATATATATATATATATATACAGATATGTATATGTAATAATAATAATAATACTGAGGACTTCTTCAGTCGGCACATTCAATGACTGTCTGTATTTTGCAGGAACAAGTTTCGCCGGGTGGAACGCGACGCTCTCGAAGAACACCCCGACCCACTGACACGCCTACTTTAGCTACTGATGAACAAGTTCAGGTGGATCATAAAAAACTCGAAAAGTCGGAGCAGTATACGGAATGTAGTAGTAACCTGGAGAGATTCACACTGGAAGATAATACTGCTATTGTTAGACTGCAGCTGAAGAGTGAACCGGAGAAACCGTCACCGACTACATCATCGCCTGAGGAAAACTCGGCTCCTACTCCCAAACGAGGAAGGGGTCGAGCCAGGAAAATAAGACCTGATGCCGAGGTGGACACCAGTGAGGTTATTTTACCATGCGAGGATCCATTGGGTGAGAAGAAACCAGGACGTAAAAGGAAGCTCCCGGATGAACTGCTAGATCAGCAGCACATAAGCGACCTTGTAGTGGTGAAAACAGAGCAGGATGAATTGGGTGAGGCTCCCTTGGGAGATGTCAAGAGAATGCGTCGTAGTGTCCGTTTGGGCAATCGATTACTAGCCGATGGAAGCACCTGGGAGGAAGTAAAGACGGAGCCGCATCCCCCTCCGCCTTCTACAGATCTTTCCTTGACGGAGGTCACTTCTGACATTTTGCCACTAGCCGCGCTAGATGAGAAGACCCCACCCAAAAAGCGAGGGCGCAAGGCAAAAGTTCCACCCGGTGTGAAGTTAGAATCAGAAACATCCTCCGTGCTACCCATTGCTAATGGCAACAAGAAATCGAATTCCACTGGTGGATCCGAACTTCAGCTGCCCAAGCGTTCAAAAAGAAGAATTAAACCAACGCCAAAGATATTAGAAAATGACGAGCTGCGCTGTGAGTTCGAAACGAAGCACATTGAGCGTATGACCCACTGGGAAAGTGCTGCAGCAGTAGATGGGGATTTTGAAACGCCAACAACAGGCGGTAATGGCTCGAATTCCTCGACCTCAAGGCAAAAGAGCGACAAGTCTGACGGGAGCAACTTCGAAGGTGGTCCAGGACATCCAGCAGGCACAAGTGCCATTAAGAAAAGGCTCTTCTCAAAGTCCCAGCGCGACATTGAGAACTATGATGCTGCAATGCTAGCCAAAAGCAAATTACGCCCGTGTCCGGATGTCGAACAGTTTCTAAGCGACATCAAGGCATCCCGAATTAATGCAAATCGATCACCAGAAGAAAGAAAATTGAACAAAAAACAACAACGAAAACTGGCCAAACAGAAGGAGAAGCACCTAAAGCATTTGGGACTGCAAAAAAACCACATAGATGAGCCCTCGGATAACGACAGTTCCAATACGGACAATGAATTTTTACCTACTACAAGAGTGCAGGTGGGAAAACCAAGTGTTACTTTGAGAGTGAGGAATAGTGTTACCAAGGATCTGCCCACAACACCCGCTGCCGCTCAGAAATCACGGAATCCAGTCGTACAGGCAGCAAAACTTACGAGAAGAATAGGGGCAAGAGGAGCCGGAGAAGTTACTGTGGCAGCTCGAGCAGGTGTGTCCGTATCTACACTCGATGCGGAGCAGCTTCACTCGTTGAACACTTCGATTCAAGCTGATGTTACGCCCATAAGAGACTTAGATATTAGGCCCAGCACCTCTAGAGTGGCAAAGTTTATTTGTCTATGCCAGAAGACTTCCCAGTACTATGCCAGGAATGCCCCGGATTCATCATACTGCTGTGCCATTGATCACATCGACGAGCAGAAAATTGGCTGCTGCAATGAACTATCCTCGGAGGTTCACAATCTACTCAGACCCAGCCAACGGGTTAGCTATATGATCCTATGCGACGAACACAAAAAGCGCCTACACTCACACAACTGCTGCGCGGGATGTGGCATATTTTGTACACAGGTAAAGACAGAATCATTATTGTTACCCGCAATCTAATATTTTTATTATAATACAGGGAAAATTTGTGTTATGCAAGCAGCAGCACTTCTTTCATCCCGATTGTGCCCAGCGATTTATTCTGAACACTTCATACGAGAAAGAAGTCGTTGATATGGAAGATCAGGGAGTCAAATTCAGCAGTCCCGTGTTAGTGCTTAAGTGTCCCCACTGCGGATTGGATACACCAGAGCGGACCTCTACGGTAACGATGAAGTGTCAGTCCCTGCCTGTCTTTCTGCGCACCCAAAAGTACAAGATGTGAGTAAATTGTACTGCGGATTCAGCGTCTCTTTGATTTAATTCATATATACTATAGTCAAAATGTTGTATTAATAAATTCTTTACTAACCACGCAGCAAACCCGCCAGGTTGACAACCTCTCCGCACCTTACCCAATTTGGAACCGTTGGGAAAGTCAATACTCCAGGAGCCAAGGCCAGAAGTAAGGGGGGACCTTCCACCGCTGTAACTTTAAGCGCGTCATCATGCTCTGCCTCAAAAACAAATGGAAACCAGAGGGGCAGGGCAGGCAGCTCCAATTCTAACTCCGGCCATGCTCTTAATTCGATAAACTTTGCTCAACTCATACCCGATTCCGTAATGAATGTAGTGCTGCGGGGTCACGTGGTTTCTGCCAGTGGTCGCGTGACCACAGAGTTTACCTCGCGGGATATGTACTACGCAGTCCAAAACGATGACTTGGAGCGCGTAGCGGAGATTCTGGGTAAGTTTGTTTGCACTCGACATTTATCTTAAAAGGTCTAATGTTTTTGGAATAGCTGCCGACTTCAACGTGCTGACTCCCATACGGGAGTACTTAAATGGCACCTGCCTCCATTTGGTGGCCCACTCGGGAACACTTCAGATGGCATATCTGTTGCTCTGCAAAGGAGCCAGTTCACCGGATTTCGTTAACATTGTGGATTATGAACTGCGGACTGCGTTAATGTGTGCGGTGATGAACGAGAAGTGCGACATGCTAAATCTTTTTCTGCAATGTGGTGCGGATGTGGCCATCAAGGTTTTTATGCCTCCTTATCCCAAAGCATCTATAGTCATTAAAAATTCTATACTTTCAAAAGGGTCCAGATGGCAAGACGAGTCTGCATATTGCTGCCCAGTTAGGCAACTTAGAAGCCACTCAGTTGATTATAGACAGCTACCGAACTTCTCGAAATATTACCAGCTTTTTAAGTTTTATTGATGCTCAGGATGAGGGCGGTTGGACGGCCATGGTGTGGGCAGCAGAGCTGGGACACACGGATATAGTTAGGTGGGTTCCTTTGCCCCTAGGCGTTTTCTTAAAGCTGATTAATATTTTTCGCTTTATTAGCTTCCTGCTAAACCAGGAGGCTGATCCTAACATCTGCGACAATGACAACAATACGGTGCTACACTGGTCCACGCTGCACAATGATGGTCTGGACACGATTACGGTCCTGCTGCAGGCAGGGGCGGACTGCAATGTACAGAATGTAGAAGGCGACACGCCTCTGTAAGTTTATTTACCAACAAATTTAAGGAGTACTGATAACAATTATGTCAATTTTAGGCACATTGCTTGCCGTCATTCTGTCACCCGCATGTGCATCGCGTTAATAGCTAATGGAGCCGATCTAATGATTAAGAACAAGGCGGAACAGCTGCCTTTTGATTGCATCCCGAACGAGGAGTCTGAGTGCGGTCGCACTGTTGGTTTTAATATGCAGATGCGCAGTTTCAGGCCTCTGGGCCTCCGTACATTTGTGGTTTGTGCAGATGCCTCGAATGGTAGGGAGGCACGACCAATCCAGGCGGTTCGCAACGAACTGGCGATGTCTGAAAATGAGGATGAGGCCGATTCGCTTATGTGGCCGGATTTTCGCTACGTAACGCAATGCATCATCCAGCAGAACTCGGTACAGATTGACCGACGCGTTTCACAAATGCGCATCTGCTCCTGCTTGGATAGTTGCAGTAGCGATCGCTGTCAGTGCAATGGAGCCTCCTCGCAGAATTGGTATACTGCCGAAAGTCGACTGACTGCTGACTTTAACTACGATGATCCTGCGGTAATTTTTGAATGCAACGACGTCTGTGGTTGTAATCAGGTTAGAGATTTGGACATCAGAAATAATCCATTCATACTAAAGTCTTTTAAACCTATTATATTCCTGCAATAGCTTTCCTGCAAAAACCGCGTGGTACAGAATGGGACAAGGACACCTCTACAGATTGTCGAGTGCGAGGAGCAGGCGAAGGGCTGGGGTGTACGGGCGCTGGCCAATGTTCCCAAGGGCACTTTCGTGGCCAGTTATACGGGTGAGATTTTGACTGCAATGGAGGCAGATCGACGCACCGATGACAGTTACTATTTTGACTTGGACAACGGTCACTGCATCGATGCCAACTATTATGGCAATGTAACCCGGTTTTTTAACCACTCGTGTGAACCGAATGTTTTGCCTGTTCGTGTTTTCTACGAGCATCAGGACTACAGATTCCCCAAGATAGCCTTTTTTGCCTGCCGCGACATCGATGCCGGAGAGGAGATATGGTAAGTCGATCCAACGATTTTAAGGTTAACAGGTTAGATAGTCGAAAATAAATATTTTAAAATGAATTTTAAAGACAAAAAAAAACATTAAATGAGCCATTGTTTCTTTTTTTAATTGTTATATTTTTGCTTAAGTAAAATGACTCTTTGAGGAGTATGTAAAATAGAAAAAATGCGTTTTAGACCCTTTAAAACATTTTTGATCAGAATTAGGAGTTTCAAATATCCTTGTCTAATTGTTCATCCTACTGCCAAATTAAAGTTCAGACCTCAGGAATTTCTACCTATTTCGATTGGTAACAACGTGCACATTTAACTATATACTTTCCAATTCCTTTCTTTCTGTGGGTTTCCCTATTAATCTTTGTTGTTTCCTCCTAGCTTTGATTACGGTGAAAAATTCTGGCGCGTGGAACATCGCTCCTGTGTGGGATGCCGATGCCTGACAGCAACCTGCAAGTACGCCTCCCAATCCTCAAGCACAAATGCCTCGCCCACGGATGCAACAACTGTACCGGAAGATGCAACGGGAACGTTGTCATCTATAAATCCGGAGAAAATTGAGCAGGCGTAGGCAAAAACCACCTCAACTTGAAATGATTTCAGATTCCTCAGTCTCGTCCGACAAACAAATTACCCACCAAAACCATCAGCAACCAAATAAGACGGACATCTTACATCACAGCATCAGCAGATTCGATAACCATGTTTGTAATATTTATGAACGTATGAACGATGAATCATTATCGATGCCCGACCGGGACTTTCTTCTTTGACTGCCAAATGTTTCATGGTTAACAAATGTTTATCTATTTTTACGCATACATATAGTGTTTGTTTATTATTAATTTCGTTTGATTTGTATTAATTTTCTGACCCCCTATCATTAATGTTTTTATTTGTATTACTTGTAAAAACAAATTAGTTTATACTTCCTGCGTGAGACAAACTAATCAAATAAGAAGGGCAAATCAAAATTGCTTCACGACATTGTGGGTGTGTGTTTCCGAAACTTAAATGTTTCAAACTTAAAATTAGACTTGGACATTACCAGGGTTATATAGAATCGTAATGCCGGAAAAGTCCATCTAGTCATAAGAATGAAGGAGACGGAGTATATCAATAGGAAAGAGAACACATATTTTTTTTTATAGAAGTAGTCAGTTTTTTTTTTAAGTTTTATCAGCATGCTCAAGAAATACGTTAAAAAATTAAATAAAATGTTTGCTTTTACCTTTAACCATGAAAATTAGACGGTGCAATAATCATTTAAGCTGCACTGTAATGGGCACATAAATGTTACGAGAAACCAAAAGTAAAAAACATTGTCTATATTACACATATACATGTTTTGTGCAGGGTTAAGTACTGACACACACCCCCAATTTATTAGCACTCTACTAATCCCATCGAATCTGGAATCTTTATCTGGTATCAAAATTGTTCAGTTTGCTAAGCAAGCCAAGCCACAAGTGCCTACAAGAAAATTATACCTAACCCGTTTGCCCTCTAGGAAAACCCTAACTTGGTTTTAAAGCAATATAGTTTTATATCGGTACAATCTATCCGCTTTCACCTTCGATAGTCAGCCGAAAATTGATGCGACGGAGCATTGATTACTTCATGTAGGAATTCTTCGATTTCGATCATATATAAGAGTCCCAACCCACGCAGTATATCCCCGCCTTTGCTATATAGACTTTGACATACATGTATGGCTGTAAACGTTAATGTGGGGTTTCTATATATTATTAACTTTAACTGTTTAAAACGACAATATGTAATTTAAGTCGCAAGATTTTCCCTTTCAGCCACAAAGTCAAGACTCATAGGTCAAAGGTCACAAAAAGAGGCGCTTCTGTGATTTTCTGTTGGCATTTCTATCCGTATTTGTGTACCTACGACAAGAGTCAAGAATAATAATATATGTATACAGTTCAGTGTCCCCGGGGGTATTCAATGCGTACCACATATTGACACAGAAAAATAAGGTATTTAATTTTAACTGTTATAGCTGACAGTGAAGGCTGTTATCTAAGTGGTTTTGTGTTCTTTAGTTTTGTTTTTCTTGTGCAAACAAACTTGTGAGTTGCACCCAAAATTTAAGGAATACGGTTTGTAAGGAGGCAGTTATATAAACGTTTAACCATAAGATATTGAATTGATTAAATTCACCATAAAGGAGCACAGCAGAAAAGGTGCAAACAATAAACAAATATCATCAGTGTGCACATAAGATTGACTTTTTAATGCGGCTTCATTTTAGGTCGGTGTGTTCGTTTTCCGAGGGTTTAACAATTTGTGTTTACATACGAAATGAAACACATTGGGTAAAGCCTACATTTTAAATTTGACCGCCCAAATATCAGCCCTGCAGTGTTGCCACACGTTGTTACACTAGGTTATCGAAACTAACAGCTGATTTTTGTTTTGTAATATTTGAGGTTGGTTTTCGGCTGACTATTTTATTAAATTAAATTAAATATGGACTTTTTACTTTTAAGCGTTTGCCAAGTTGACATTCCAAAGGAAGGCCATTAAAGCCCCAATTGACAAACCATCAAATATTCGTTGCAAAACCACCTGGGAGATGAGTTTTCCGGACAAGGCGGAGCGCACAAAGTGCTGGAACAACCGGGACGAGTATTGGAAGTGTCTCGAGGAGCACGCTCCAAAGCACAGATCTACCAGTGGGGAAAAGGTACCCACCCCCTGTCAGAGTCTTCGCAAATCATTCGAGCAATCCTGCCCTGGTCAATGGGTCAAGCACTTCGATCGCAAGCGTACTTATGACCAGTTTAAGGAAAAAATGGCTCAGGGCTACGATCCCTTGGAGGACCGTACAAGAGCCGAGAAGCAGGCTAATTGACCTTAACGCCGCCTAGGATTCTGGAAGTACTGTTGGCCACCTAACACCCGTATTTGTCTACCGTTTTATAGTAATTAAATAAACTATGTAATTATCCTCCAATGCTAAGTGTGGATTGATTTTATGTATACTTTGAAAATAGGGTGCAACTAGATTTTAAAGATAAAAACTAGTGTTTTATTGTTTTATATGTACATATTTATTATTGACATGACATGCCCATTGTTGGGTTAATGCTTCTGCTCCCGTATTCAGTGTTCACCCTCCAGAGTTTATTACTGAATTATCGATAACAAAAAGCAAAAAGGTTGCATGCTAATTTATGTATTGTAGTTTACAATTTAATTGAGTATCGTCAGTGGGAGCAGTTAGAAGCGGTGTAGTTAACGTAATGGAATCGATTACCTTTGGAGTTTTGACTAGTATGTGGGCCCTTATCCCCAAGAGAACTCTACTTTACATGGTTTTTTTACCCCTAGTTAGTGACACATGTTGGCAGGAGCCGGCAAAGGATACAAGTGGTCCTATATTAAGACAACTGATCGGTGAAAATTTTGCCAATACCCAGGTGATTGGAAAAATAGTTCCGGATGAAAAGGATCTCATACAGCACGAGCTACGTAAGTGGATCGATCGGGAGGAGCTGCGAGTAATTCTGACTACCGGAGGAACGGGATTTGCACCACGGGATGTGACCCCAGAGGCCACTAGGCAGCTGCTCGATAAGGAATGCCCACAACTATCAATGTATATTACACTAAAGTCCATCAAACAAACCCAATATGCGGCTCTTTCCCGTGGAGTCTGTGGCATTGCAGGAAATACTCTCATCTTAAACTTTCCTGGTAGCGAAAAGGCCGTAAAAGAGTGTTTCCAGACCATTAGGGAACTCTTGCCCCATGCTGTTCACCTTATTGGTGACGATGTGTCCCTGGTGCGGAAAACACATGAAGAGGTCCAAAGTTCCGCACGCCAGGGTCACATTTGCCCCAACAAAACGGGAACCGGCACAGATTCCGATCGAAACTCGCCCTTTCCAATGCTGGCCGTTCAAGAGGTGCTTTCAATAATCTTTAACCAAGTGCAAAGGACCAATCTGGATAATATTCTCTTAGAAATGAAAGCGCCGGTTAACATTCCACCCTTCAGGGCTTCCATCAAGGATGGTTATGCCATGAAGTCCACTGGATTTTCTGGCAGTAAGCGTGTTTTGGGATACATAGCCGCCGGAGATGTAGTAAGTTTTACATTTATTTATAGTGGCAATCGATATGAGCAGATAGGAACGAAAATAATTATTAGGAAATATTTAATGAAAGTTTTAAATACTAATTACAAAGCGCACTTTCATTCGGTTTCAGCCTACTTCTTTGCCGCTGGCAGAGGATGAGTGCTACAAAATTAACACAGGGGCACCGCTACCCCTGGAGGCAGATTGCGTAGTACAAGTGGAAGACACTAAGTTGCTGCAGTTAGATAAAAACGGACAGGAAAGCCTTGTTGACATAATGCTGGAGCCACAAGCTGGTTTAGATGTTCGGTATGTAGTGCGAAATACCAAGGAGAAACCAAATAAAACAAATGTTTTATAACTTTTATTTATTTTATTTTATTTCTTTAGGCCTGTGGGTTTCGATCTAAGCGCCAATGATCGCATATTTCCTGCTCTAGATCCTTCTCCCGTGGTGGTCAAATCGCTGCTGGCCTCCGTGGGCAATAAGTTGGTTATATCTAAGCCCAGGGTGGCTATAGTGTCCACTGGAAGCGAGCTTCTTTCACCGCGCGATCAGCTTACTCCAGGAAAGATCTTCGACTCAAATACCACCATGTTGACGGAGTTGCTGCTTTACTTTGGTTTTAACTGCATGCACACGAGTGTGCTAAGCGATAATTTTGAACAGACTAGGGAATCGCTGTTGGATCTCTTTGAAGAGGTGGACTTTGTCATTTGCAGCGGTGGGGTCTCCATGGGCGATAAGGATTTCGTAAAGTCCGTGTTGGAAGACCTTAAATTTAAGATCCACTGTGGCAGAGTGAACATAAAGCCAGGGTAATATTGTCTTCATTGTATTGTATTTAATATTGTCTTAAGGGCTTGCCCTTAATGTTATATACACTTATCTTGTGTCCTTCAGGAAGCCCATGACCTTTGCCAGCCGGAATGATAAGTACTTCTTTGGTCTGCCCGGGAATCCAGTGTCAGCATTCGTTACTTTTCACCTGTTCGCCCTGCCCGCCATCCGCTTTGCTGCTGGCTGGGATCGCTGCAAGTGCTCCCTTCCTGTGCTTAACGTGAAGGTGAGTTCTAATCCAATTTAACCACATTGTGAAATTGTAAGTGGCAACGGACTGTTATGATTGATGGTAGTTTTATCTTGGAAATTAATTAAAGTACTACAGAATATAGATTGCTTTCAATCTTCTTTGTTCAAACTTATCTTTCGCCTTATCTCTTTGGTAACTATTAATAAAAAATAGTTTGTCAAATTACCTGTATCAAAAGAGGTTAAGGTAAATGCGAAAGTTTTTAGAATATTGAAATCAGAAGCAATTATCGTGATACCTCAATCGTTATATGTACATTAAATTGTTCATATATACGTAATAATGAGAAAAAGCCACTGCAAATGTTGTATAATTCCTTGATAAATTTTCATTTCAGTTGCTCAATGACTTCAGCTTAGATAGCCGCCCGGAGTTCGTTCGGGCCTCAGTGATTTCGAAATCTGGAGAGCTATACGCCAGCGTCAATGGAAATCAAGTAAGCCTCTTTTCTCTAAAATAAACCCCATATTATGATAATTTTCCTCCGCCTTTCCTAGATTAGTAGTCGCTTGCAGAGCATTGTGGGTGCCGATGTTTTAATAAACCTTCCTGCACGTACCTCTGATCGCCCATTGGCGAAAGCTAATGAAGTTTTCCCGGCCTCCGTGTTGCGCTTCGACTTTATCTCCAAGTACGAATAAGAACTACCTAAACATAATAGAAGAAGCTAAAAAACTCAGACAATACAGATACATTAGCATAAAGCTTTATTTTTTCATGTATGGTAACATTAAATAAAATGTTCAACAATTCCACCGTTAGCAGTGTGAACAAAAACGATTAAAAAGTAAATATTATAAAAGCCTTCCGAAAAGAAAAAAAAAGAAATATTATCAATCAAAAAATATTGTAAGCATATCAAATAGAGAGAATGGAGCAGGATTAGAGCGTTATAGTAAATGGGATCAGGATCAGGAGCATATATACAGGAAATGGAAGAAGACGAATCTTAAACCGACTGACTGGCGTTCTCTCCGACAGATGAAGCTACCGGCTTCTGAAGTCGCAGCGAGGAGCGACATGGCAACGCGAATTGGTATTTGTTGTGATTCAGGAGCGCATAGCGCTGCTGCGGAGCAAAGTCCCACAACGCCCGCTCGATCACATGAAGGGCGTCCGGACTGAGCACGTCCGCTGTATACTGAGTAGGAGCCCCAACGGCCAAGGACATGGCTGAAAGAAAGTGAAAAAGTTGTATATAATTTATTTATTTCCCCAACCTGATGGAAACCTTACTTTGTGCCATTGGTGCCTTGTACAATGACTCTGCCGTCATGCCGCAGGTATCCAACGCGACTACGCTGACGCCATAGGGATGCAGCTCCTTGCGCAGTTCTTCGGCACACTTGTCTACGGCAACGCGTGAGGCATTAAAGGCAACTAGTCCATCACCTCCGTTTCGAGCACTTCCACCTCCACCTACTCCACCCAAGTAAAGGAGTCTTCCACGTGTCGGACGTAGGAAGCTTACAAAGGCCTTCGCCACACGTAACGTGCCCAGGATGTTGGTTCTGAGCATGTGCTCCCACTGTTGGACATCCTGCAATTCAACCTGGCCCCGGAAAACACTGCCACTAGTGTTAATTACGGCCGCAATCCCGCGCTCATCGGCATTTAGGTTGGCACCCATTATAACGGTGGCCTCGCGAAGCACATCCTCTCGGGTGACATCCAATCTCATCGGAATAATAGTGCCTGAAATGGGTTCTTCACTGTACTCTCGGATCTTCATCCAACCGGAAAGAAGTTTGGCAGGTAGCGAGTCTTGGGCCTCCTTCATTCCAGCGAAAACCCGACATCCTTTGTTGGCCAAATGGGTGCACAACTGCAGACCCAATGCGGTATCCGCACTGGTTATTAGAACCACCCGACTGGGATGACTACCCGCACTGGCAGAGACGCTATCCTCGCGCACCTTACAGATCAGGTAGATAAGCAACGCGCCGGCGATCGAAAAAAGCGCCAGCAACTGAAAGCCCAACACCAGCATGGTCATTGCCTCCATTATAACATCGCTGGAATTAAAGATGAGATTACAGGTGAGCAATCTGGTACCACTGAAAATTTAATTTATATTAAATTCAATTAAAGAAGTAACAACTAGAGGCGATCGCGGCTTTAACATACAAAAGTTTTGATATTACCTTTTGTGGCGATGATGACCTAGACTTCCAGTAATAAATACATTTTGGTATATTTACTCATTAGTAATGAGGGATATTAGGCTTAGGGATTAGACCCAAACAGACTCAAATTTTTATTTTGAAAACTCCCCCAAGATCTAGTATTTTGTAACTTTTTAACTGAGTATTGCATTTTTACAATTGAACAGCACTAACTTCCTATATTTTAAGATTTCCACTTTCACCAGACTTTCTCCTAAGCCATTTAAAATCTTGGTATGCAATCCTTTTTAGTTTTGCGATGAGTCGATGTGATCGAACGATCGCTGAAGACTTGTATTTTTTCTTGTATTATTCGCATACTCGCTTTGCGCACTTCATCACATCATCACAGTGATATGATACTTTTAAATAAACTGCATTATTTGATTGTCGTTGCAGATCAGATAATAAATTTGGAAATTTTTGCAAATGGCACATTTTTATTAATTTATTTATACCTTCCTAGCACCATTCCTAGCTAGTTGCGCGAATTTAAATATATTTAATTACAATAACCTAATAAAATTGAAATGTATTATAAACTAAATGTGTTGTAACCTCTAAGAAAATATAAAGATATATAGTAAAATGTTTAAAGTTAAACCGAGTCGAACAAATGTCCCGTCCCGTGGGCTTAGAACAACGCTAAGAAATAAAATAATAAAAATATCAACGAAATAGGTTCACGTCTTTATTGATTAAATCTGCTTAAAACTAACTCTTGCGACAAAAATATTCCTTGTGCTGCCCTTTTGATTACATTGATTTTGGGAGCAAGCTATCCCGCTCGGGCTATTGGTTGTACACAATTAGGTATTTTAACAACAAGAACTTTATAAAGGTATTATAACAAAAATATGTTGAAGTGTATATACAATAATTGACACTTTCTCTTCCAAACGAGGAGTTTAATCACCCTCTAGAGTTGGGTAACCAGAGATTGCACTTGCAGTATATGAAGTGGCTATTTATATTTAACTTGGATATACCTACCTGGTATACATACATCTCAGTCTTTTGGCATTTTTACTTACCTTACCGACGCATCGAATAACAACTTTACGCTTGTCTTGCACTATTTCCTTTCTTTCTATTTATTATGATTTAATTATCGTACATTTTTCGACGCCTGTAAAACGGTTTCTCGAAGAAATCGAAAATCTTCCAAGTGGGGTAACAGCATATAGATACATAGATATCCACGTATCTTTGGATCCATGGACACGACAAACGAACGTGTCCAGCGAGGCGTGGCCAAGCATTTGGAAATAAACTATGTCTACGTTTTCTTCACTTTCCACTTCTGATGAGCAAAAGGAGGAGATTTGGGGTTGTGTAAGTGTAAGTTAGAGACAGGGGATGAACCGAAGTAAAAGTTTGTGCCCAAACTACTGTATTTTAAGAGCCGTGATCTATGACATGTCTTTTTAACCCAATTACACAGCCAGTAAATGGGAGCAGCTGGTATCAGGTTAGACGGCTTGAACTATTGTCTCTCTAAGGCTATTTTATTTTTCGATTTTTTTTTTTGAATTTCTTCTAAATAAATTATGAAATCAAAGACGCATAATAAGATTTTTATCTTCTTGAACTTGCTGCTACATTTATATACTCTGACTTAAAAACTAATTGCTTGGGCCACAAAGCACTTATTTTGTTGTTGGTGGTTCCGGCGTTTCCCTTCATCGTCAAGCTGAAAGAAGTTTGTCGACACGCGGAAATATGTTTGCCATATTTTTAGCATTTCGGGTTTTAATCGCGGGTGTTAAATTGAAGTGTAGGGTAAACGGAATGTACGCTGCTTTTGGTCAAACTACCGATTCAGCGGTATTGCATCCGCCACCGGTTGCGTAATTAGACAAACAAACGGCGGAAAAAACAAATGCATAATGGCGATCAAGCAATACGAGGAAATTGGAAAAAAAAAATTGGAGAGCAGTTTTGGTATTTGCCAGGTTTTTGGAAAAGATTTCGGACATTAATTATATTTACAAGTTTTAAACTCTGAGCACAGATGTAAAGTACTTTACTTTCATATATATGTAATATATTCATACATTCTTACTTATTCTACACATGTATCGTTTAGGTGTTATTCTTCTATTGCATATTAGCCATGATATGCATTACCTGGTTGCATGAGCATCATACAAGTTTTGGGGGAAGTCGTTATATCAACTGCCTGACAGTTCTAATCTAATCTTAGATCGGACCTAATCTAGTCGTGATAGGCATGTAACTAAGGGGGCTAGACAAACCGCGCTTGTCCACTATCTCTCTTAGTATGTTTTTATACCCGTTACATTTAGAGTATTAAGAGATTTAGAGTACAGAATAAGTAAAAAGTAACCAACTTTTGTCCTTTAAATTAGACCATAAAAAGTTTTCTTTAGTAAACTAAAATAAACTGCGTCCAGTTTCGGGAGGTTGGTCCGAAATCTGTTTAGTGGTTGGACTAATCACTTAAACTTATACTTAGCTATACCGCTAACTCGTACAGTAAAATGGGTAATAGATTATCTTTACCACAACAAGGTGCCACGACCATGTTTTTGAAATTTTTTAATTTTACTAATTTTTTCTTGCCAATTTGTATCGCTCTTCAAATACATTTTTGAAATATCTTTCCAGCTCTCTCTCTAGCTGAGTGAACGGTATCTGAAGTAGAGGAAATCGCAAATAGCGTTCCCTCTTGCTGTTTGTTCGGACCCCGTTTTGTGTTTTACTCGCATTGAGTACGAGGCAATTCGGATAAATACCAATATGTATGTAGAGGCGAATATTAAAATTTTGTTGACTGGCTTTTATTTTATGTTTTCTTGGTTACACAGTCCGAAAGGCATAAGACATTAGTGGTTTCTAACTAATATTGATACAAAATCAATCAAAAATCTATGAAGATGTGTGTATCCGTATACGCAGTATGGCTGTGATTATGAATCCAGCTTGTTACAAGTAGGATAGTTTCCTTTACGATTTAATATAATTTATGCATATGTTTATTGATAAACACAGTTATTTTACAAAGAAAAACAAGGATTGGTAAAAGTGGACAGGTGTAAACCTGTTTAAAAAAGCGATATATTCAATATATTGGATAAATCGTTTGAATATTTTTATTTTATAATGAACAAACTAATACCTGGCCTTGTGAGGTAAAACTGGTTTCAAAAGTTAAAGTGCAACGAAACGATAAATATTTTTAAGATGCTATATTCAATATCGCCTAAACCGCTTAAACCATTTTTGGGCTCGGCCTTTTCCCCTTCGTTTCTTATACGCAAATGCAAAGCGAAATTGTTGTCTGATTGCCATAATTGATGAAGCGATAGAAGAAATAAAAGGGAAACGCCGAGAAAAAACAATAGTCACGGCAGAAAAGCATGCAAAACAAAACCAAAACAAAGCAAAATCAAGTAGTCCTAATTAATTTGCACTTCAGCTGTGGAAAAAAGTTGAACATTTTATTTTATTTAGTCTGATTTTGTTAAATCTTGTTTTTTTTTTAATTAATTCAGTTGTCGAATGCTACAAAATGAATTCCTTATAATATATTTAATGGGTTCCCAATTGGAATTTGCTTTGGTCATTTGCTAAAGTTATTGTTTATCGTTTGAATATAGGCCAATATTTATGTGCTAAT